ATTAACAGACGTCAGTATTTATACTGTAACAACACAGGACAAAGGCCAGGTAACATATCATTTATTAAAGAAATCAACACATATTTATAGATTTTCATGTACATTATTATAGATTGTTGTTAGTAAAAAAAATACAGTCTTCTGATTGGTTGTTTCTCACTGAAAGTTAATCTTTCATCTCTTTGTGGCTGTTTCTTGAATGTCAGATCATCTATTTGCTAACTGTATCCGACTACGCAAAGTGTGCTGTGGTTGACTGTTGAATCAGTCTTTCTTCTTATTTTTCTCACGACCAATATTGGGGACGTAAACATTGACGTGGATAACTGTCTACCAATTTGGCTAGCAGCCAGCTTTAGCCACAGTACTACAAAGTTTAAGGAGTAAATTTGATTTATGATGTCACCAGTTCACCCTCGTAGTTAGCCAGAGATCAGATGGTCTGAATTGATTCAGCTGTTTGAGCTCAGTCAAACCGGGTACACGTTGATGATGATGAACACGTCTCAAACGAGTGAATTGGTCATTCGGTATATAGATCACTTAGGTTTTACCAGCGAACACTACTGGTTGATATGAGTGGTAGCCAACTACTCATCTCAATCAATCAGTAATATATAGCGGATTTTTTATAATCTCTCTTGCCAGAGGTCATGGGAAAGATCGAAAATGAGCACTACTTTGTCCGAAAGTAACAATGAGTACTAGGTTAAATACGGAGTTATGATATCGTTAGTAAGAACCTTGTTTTCCTGAAAAACTTTACCATTTTTCAGGATATTAGCCACACTTTATATATGAGGGCTCGTGATACTGTTTACTTGCTGAAGTGTTGTACTAACTGGAACGGAGTTTGAACCTGGAATCTCTATTGGCTTTAAGTTGAGTGTATGACTTACATTTCCACAAAATGATATCGAAACGTGATGATGTCTATTCACAAAAATTATTAAAATCTCTATAAACCGAACTCTGAAAAACTATGAATAATTTGTCGAAGTTGATAATAGTATAATCAATAGCAACTCAACTGACATTTGTCACCATTAAAAACCTTTACAATATTGCTTGATCAAGTGAAAAACAAATGCATACAGTTAATTTTTATTCGCCATTTAATTACAGTAAAAGTGGTGTAAGTATCGAGAATATAAGTAAGTGAGTAGTTTCATACATTTATTTCCCTTTATAAATTTGAATAAAGCAAGAACAACAGTTTGTGTAGAATAAAATGGTGCCATTATTTATTTCGTTGGCTTCTCATCAACTGCTGACAACCTTTATAAAGTATTAAGTTTATGTATAGAGAACATTTTAATATGCTTACACAGACAGTTCATTTTTGAAAAAAAGTATACATAAAATGGTAATGATGATTATAATAATAATAATAACTTTATTCCAAACAATAGCAGTCATACAGAATGGTATTTGTGGCGTTATGTAATCCAACGGGAGAAAGGGTGAAAATACCCAGTTATTATTGTGGGCACAAGAAATAAAGGAAGTATTATGCATATATCCGTAGTCATTTCTGCTCTGAAATGTCAACTCAACACCAAAACAAAACGGTGTGAGCTAAAAAGTTATTGAATGTAAGAACGGATGAGTATTGATATTGAGTTATTATAGAATACTTCGAAACTCAAAGTTAAAAGATAAAACGACTAGGCGAGGACGTATTTAATCTTCAATTACATCCTCCTTTGATATATATATATATATATATATATATATATATATATATATATATATATATATATATATATATATAATATAAACGAATCTACATCGACGCCTAGTTTAAAAATAGGAAGTGAAGTGGTAGAGCACGTTGACCGCTTCACTTATTTGGAAAGTACCATCAGCCCCAACGGGCTGATCTCTGACGAAATCTCAGCACGAATACAAGGGGCTCGTTTCGCATTTATTAGTTTACGCTGACTCTGGCGTAGACGAGATGTTCGACTATCCACTAAAGGGCGGGTGTACTGCTCATCAGTCCGCTCCGTCCTCCTTTATGGTTGTGAGACCTGGCCACTGAGAGTGGAAGACATGAAAAGACTAGCTGTCTTTGATCATAGGTGCCTGCGTTCTATTTCCCGTGTAAAGTGGCATAATAAGGTGAGCAACATGGAGGTTAGGCGTAGAGTTCTAGGTAAACAGGGGAAATCAATCGACGAAGTCGTGAAGCTACAAAGACTGAAATGGTTAGGACGTGTTACGTATGCCAAGTCATCGCCTCCCTCGACGAGCAATGTTAGCAGATATAGGGTCAGGCTGGAAAAGAGCTAGCGGCGGTCAAACCAAAACATGTCACCAGTCAATGAAATCTACAACAGTTAGTCTAAGCTAGCCACGTAGGAAGGTGTAGACTCCCTGACTGGGGTCCTCGGGACAGTAAAAAAACATGGCTCAAAATCGTTCTCAGTGGCTAGCGCAGATGCATCCACTCCTTGTGACTTATGATCTCCAATGAAACTGTTTTGTTCTTCGTTATTACTCCTCCTTTGTCTCACACCTCTGCTCACTGTCTCTATTATGCTTTTCTTGTATTTTCTTCTCTTGCTTCGCGTGCTACACGGAATGTGGCGACTTGAACTTCCGCACATTTGTGCAAAGTTCTATGTCGAAAACAGAAAGACAGACTATTGGTGATAAGTTTGGCAACAACAATTGGTCAATGTCAACATCTCAAAGGGGTGCGGTAATTAACCAAGTTTCTTACCCGTTAAGAAGCAGTGACTGACTTAACATTTTTATTGAAAATCCGAATATTATTCTTTATACTGGCTGAGTGCAGAAGATTTCCAAATTGGTTTCAAGTTGATGAAGGCGTATCTTGCCTTTAGAATTCTGGCCAACTTTGACATCTTCATCCATTCTGAATGCCTGTAATTGAAATGATGCTTCCTAGGCAGATAAGTGAAGAAAGTAAACTCTGTTGAGTCTCTCCTGCTGATGGTGATTGGTTCTGGTTTTTGTTGCTGTTGTTGGTAGTTGGATATCTTCATCACCTCTGTCTTCTCTATGTTCACCTGTAGTCCTGTCTTCGCTGCCGCTTCAGTCAGTTTGCTAGTTTTCGTCTGTAAGTCTTCGAGTTTGTGTGTGTGTGTGACATGAGACATATATCATCGGTGAAATCCATATCTTCTAGAGTCTTCTTATCGGTGGTCCAGCGTACTCCTGTATCCTGCCTCCTCACAGTCTGACGTATAATCTAGTCTAACACAATTAAGAATATCATCGGTGATAATAGGTGGGCAGACTTGTCTTACTCTTGTAAGTATTTCGAACGCCTCGCTGAGTTTCCCGTAGTGGATCACCTGACACATGGCATTGTAATGTAGCCAGCGTTTGAATGAGATTGATATAGGTTTGGGTAGTACACGCCGTAGTGTTGAAGCAGTTTCTAAATTACTCCTAGGTCAACGCTGTCGAATGCTTTTTCGAAGTCGCTGAAGTTGAGGTCGGACTGCCATTCTATGCTTTGTTCGATGACGATGAGTAGAGCTGCAATCTGTACTCTTTCTCTGGAAACCGTTTGTTTCAATAATTTGACTATGTATTTTCATTATTATATTACTGAGTACTTATTTCCTAGGTGGAACACAATGCTTTAGCAGCACACGTCCATGGTATTCTATTTTCTGCTGTTATTTCTGCCTGACTCCACGACTTCCCAAAAGCTTTCGTTTCCTATCTACATGATCTGAATGTTACCCTTGGACGCCCCAATGGTCGCTTCCTATTCATTTCCACTCGACAGCATGGTATAGGTTATCACCTGGAGTTTTCCTCAGCATATGTTTAACTCAGATAATTTGAAGTCCTTAAGCTTTATCTTGAAGATATCTTGCACCAGACAGTGATCCGAGCCTATATCTGCTCCCCTTCTCGATCTTGTATTAAGCAGGCCGCATCTCCACTTTTTTTGATACTACGATGAGGTCTGTCTGATTTCTTGTGTGTGCATCTGGTGAAACCTACGTTGCTTTATGTGTATCCTACATTACCTGCTGTCGAAAAACCATTAAATCCTCAGAAGTTTGGAAAGGGTTCTTTGTTCTCATTTATTTCACCGAGCGCCTCTCAACACATAATGAGTCCTCTTCCTTCGGTTTGTGCTCCCATTCTGGCTGGTATTCATACCACTCATAAGTTTTTTTCATGTCTCCATTTGGTGTCTTGTCTATTGGAATTGGGCCGATTGGAATTTATTATTGTCTGTGAACGAATAGTTGCCTTTGGTAATTTACACTGTATGTTCTATACTTATGAATGCATGTAAAATCGAAATTACAGTTACCAGTTGTTGGAGCGAATAATACCGATCAGCATAACAGTAGTGCAATTATTTCTAGTTGCTAATGAAATACCAACCGTCTGGTTTCGGAATTTATTAGTTTATGTCGTAGTTGGTAGTGGTGATACTGTTCGTTACATGTGAAAGGGCGTATGTTACGCGCATTAGTCCAGTGTCTATTTTTTAAAAGAAACAGGCTTTTACTATACCTGACATCGTTCACTCTATACATATGATGGTGCCAATTAGTTTTGAAGTTAGGCATACAATGTGGGCTGAAGACGGCTGTTCAACTGATAAGACTGCAAATCTTTATCGACTTGTAATGATGTATCACAAAATCATTTACGCTGCCTCTGTCGTATACAGTCTCTACTCTCGTCCAATTTCTTATCACGTCGACCAGTAATCTATAAGTTATGTTCCTTACCACAAACATTTGTATAACGACATAAACTGATCTGCTATAATGAGAAGTTCTACGCAGATTCAGTTATTGTATGCCTTTGGTTACTATATTGTACCTTTTTGTTATAATATATTCACAATAACCATTTTATAACAGTGCTTTATACATAAATGCTGCCTCATAAGCATACCAATGAAGTGAATTATATAAAAATCAATGTATCGATTTCACTTACGATTTAAATAAGGGATCAATTAACCACTAAACTTATTCACAAATACTATACAGGTGTTATGACAGGAATTCATTTTTTTGTATGAGAAATTCTTAGGATGTATAAAAAGCCTGACTGGTATAAATATTTTATTCCTGTTGCTTCAGTGACAAGAAAACATTGTGCACTTGAATGGCCTGAGTCAAATTTCTCCTCTGAATTCCCTGTATATTGTCCTACTCATGGTTGTTTAAGCCAGTGTCATAGGCAAACTAATGAGGTTGATAATGATGATGATCATGATAAAGTTAATCTGACCAAATCAAATATTAATGGAAGTGGTGATGCAAAACTTGAAAAAAATGATTCAGATAATAAAATTATTGAAAATATTTTAAAAAATATTTGGAAGAATGAATTATCAAATTATTTGAAAAACTTTTATTCTCCTGGAAATGCATCTGATGCGTTGAAAAGACGTCAAGAATGCTTTACTGGGAAGCCAGCTACCTCATCACCACTTTGTGTATTATAATACAGTTTTTTGTAAGAAAAAGAAACAAATACAAGGAGGGAAGATTCATGTTGACATTTATTATTCATAAGCGGAATTATTAAGTAATTGGTTTCTTACACCTATTGTTTAAATGCATCCAAATTTAATTCGAATTACTTTGGAAAGTTTGGAAATTTTGTTCATTTATTGTTGTACAACAAATAGGGGAAAAGATACTTTGTTATTTCGAGGTGTTACATTTGTTTAGGGATATTATATGAGTAAATATTAATTGAGTGGAATTATCCTCTTTTTGAAATATGTCTGTTTCCGACATAGAACTTTGCACATATGTGCACCAGTTCAAGTCGCCACACTCCCTCCTTGTAGCACACAAAGCAAGAGAAGAAAGTAGAAGAAAAGCATAATAGAGACAGTAAACAGAGGTGTGAGACAAAGGAGGAGTAATAACGAAGAACAAAACAGTTTAATTGGAAATCACAAGTCACAAGAAGTGGATGCATCTGCGCCACTGAGAACGATTTCGAGCCATATCACCAATTGTTTCCAACCATTGGTTTCTACCGTCTCGAGGACCCCAACCAGTCAGGGAGTCTACACCTTCCTACGTGGCTTAGACTAACTGTTGTAGCTTTCATTGACTGGTGGCATGTTTTGGTTTGACCACCGCTAACTCTTTTCCAGCCTGACCCTATGTCAGCCAGCTAACATTGACCGTCGAGGAAGGTGATGGCTAGGCAGGCATGCGTAACACGTCCTAACCATCTCAGTCGATGTGATGTCACAGCCTCGTCGATTGATTCCCCTTCCTTACTTGGCACTCGACACCTAACCTCAATATTGCTCACTTTATTATACCATTTCACACGGGAGATAAAGCGCAGGCACATATGATCAAAGACAGCTAATCTTTTGATGTCTTCCACTCTCAATGGCCAGGTCTCACAGCTGGCCATAAAGGAGGACGGAGCGGACTGCTGAGCAGTACACCCGCCCTTTTGTCGATAGTCGGATATCACCTTTACTCCAGAGACGGCGTTAAACAGATAATTGACTGACTATTAGTTACTTAAAATCGGAAATTAAGACCTATGAGAGGTGGATATGCAAGTTGTGAAGACTCACTACAATCAGTATTTCCGCTCATATCTTTGAAAGGTTAGTTTTGTGCGAAATCCATAATAAGCATTTATCAGTGATGTTAAGCAGTTGTTTCTGTGTAAAAGAAGAGATTTAAAGCTCATATTTGCAGTACGTCGACGCAGCTGATACTTACTGTATATACGCTTTAAAGATGAACAGAAAAAAGTTCAAAACTTTTTTCTTTTTAATTCCTTTTTGGTTGGTTTTAATTTCTGGGGAGAATTCTTGTCATTTACAGGGAAGTAATACAGTTTCCTTGTCCATATGTCGTATAGACACGCTTAATTTAACAGTAGTTCCCCCTAACCTGAAAATAATTATGCAACGGCAGAAGACTAGAGGATCCAGATATAGGCATAATACATCTACCATATATTAGGATCACAATTTGCACACATCTTCAGTATTGTGTAACTTTTATCGTCTGCATTGTGCTTCTTTGTCTTCTTTTCATATTTTTCATGTAGTTCAGCAAGCATCATCTATTTCTTCTCTTCGCTATTACATTTATCTCTCCACTATTCGATCTTCTTGCAGCTGACATACATATTTATATCTACATCTGTATGCTACTTATAAATCTTGTCAGTAGCACATGCAAAACCATATTAAGTAGGCTAGAATTGGTTTCAACTCGAATCAACTGATTAAGCCATTGGGTTTTTGCTAATAATTTTATTGCATAACTTTATATCCGACAGTATGCATCTAATTAAGTCATGTACTGTTAGTGTGCATATGGGATGTATATTTGTGTCATAAAATTTGTTCCCACTGGCACAGACGACTCTTGTCTTCTGCTTTTTCGGTAAGCTTTCGGCAGAAGAAGTTATCTGAGGGTGAACAGTCGTATTCGGTCTTCAGTCAAGTCATCTGTTGCGTTCCTGTGTGGAAGCGGAACCTCATTATTACAACAAACATGTGTAATAAATTCAGTTATGTGTTACGGGTCATGTCAAAAATCACTCTAATTTAGTGAGTCAAATGACTTTAAATCCCCATAACAGATTTCAAATCCTTCGAAGGAAATGTTCTGATTATTTCACGCCTTACCACAGGATGACGAACAACAGCATAACACCTTCCATACAAATGTATCAGTCTAGTTTGTGGTCGAAAAAAAGTAGGAGAAAAGAATAATGAGATCAGTAAAGACAACAGATAGAGAATACATGTACTCGAGTGTTAAATTCTACGCCATGATTATTCAACCATTAATTGTTAATCTCTTGGACCCTAGATAGAAAGTTCATCTACCGTACACGGATGAAACCACCAACCAGTGACTTCATGGACTTGATCTTATCGTCCATATTTCTTTCTCTGTTAAATCTCTTAACCTTCATATCCTAAGTCAGTAGAGTATGATACAGTTTTATACTAGCTTACCTCATGACTAGGAAGTTATAGAATGAACCCCTTTTCTATCTGACTTAGGATTTTATTAGTGAACACTTATTACGATTGATGCAACCTCTCAAATATAAGCAAAGCAATCACTGCTTCCAATCATGTCAAAAACTACTGACACCTTTGTTTTGAATATTAAGGATCACTTGTCTATCGTCATCTCCTTCGCTGCATCACGCCTATATTATATAAGTAGTGTAAACCTACTAGTAGTTGTTTTCCAAGTAACGAATTGTTTCCTGTATAGTTACAGATATAAAATGAAAACACTCATCGTCTAAAAACGCTATTTTCAGACTATTATGATTGTAATAAAAAAATTTTTAGTGCGCTACAATTGCTTAGTTATATAAAGCTCTCATTTCTCTGGTGTTTCTTACTACGAAGTTTTGGAAATTATTGCAATCTGTTTACCTTCGAACACTAAACCTGTGGATATAATCTTGTTGACTACTACTACTACCTATAACTAACTCTTTGCCATTATGACCTTTTAACACTAACTCATATCTGTAATTGTATAGATTGTTGGATTTATATGTTCAAGTTGACCCGATTCAGTGAGTCTATGGTTTTGGTCTCATTTTAGTTAACTGTGCTTAACTGTATTGCATGCTGTTGTATTGTATTTTTGTTGTCGCTCTTTGCCCTTTTTGCTGTGAATTATTTTCCTTTTGCTGGTGTTGTTCTGATTGTTTTATTCCTTGTTTTCCGATTTTAAGGGAAGCAACCCACAAGGTCGCTTCTCTCTAAATTTTATCTTAATGTAACAATCCTTTTATCAGGTGTGGAGTAGCAACCCCACCCTGTAAACAAAGTTGCTACAGAAACTTCAGCACAATGAATCTATTTGCACCAAAAGAAAAAGTCTGTGTGGGGACATTGAACGTCCGCACCATGTACGAGATTGGCAAAGCTGCCCAGATCGCAAACGAGATGAAAAGATGCGGAATCCAAGTACTGGGAATATGTGAAAGCAAACAGATCATCATTGAACAAAGCTTGGAATGGCAGTCACCTCTCTATCTCAACTTCATCGACTTTGTAAACGCCTTCAACAGCGTCGATCGAGAGGTCATTTGGCAACTACTTCGCTACTACGGGGTGCCATCGACAATTATACATCTCATCAAACAGTTATACAACAATGCTGCATGCCAAGTAATCCACAACGGGAAACTTACGGAATCTTTCGAAGTGAGGACGGGTGTGAGACAAGTCTGTCTACTATCGCCAATTATCTTCCTGATTGCAGTAGATTGGATAATGCGACAGACAGCGCGGGCAATGAGGAAACATGCATAAAATGGACTCACACAAAAAACTTGGAGGATCTGGACTTCGCCGATGATGTGTCTGATTTCCCACAAACTGGAAGATATGCAAGTGAAAAGCAACAAGTTGGCAGAAGAAACATCCAGAGAAGATAGGACTTCCTTCAGGTGAACATAGATAAAACAGAGGTTATGGAGATTCCTGGCCAACAACAACAACAGACAACAATCAGCCAGCATAAATGGGAGGAACCTGAAAGAAACAACCTCATTTACCTACCTAACCGGGAAGCATCGTTTCAACTACAGGCGGACGGAACTGACGAGAACATCAAAGCCAGAATCGGAAGAGCAAGACAAGCTTTCATTACTCTTAAGTCTGTGTGGAGGTCAACAGCACTCAGAATCAAAAATAACATCCGGATGTTAAACTCCAATGTGAAGAAGTCAGTGCTACTCACTATACGTATCAGAGACTTGGTGCGTCATAAACAGCATCTCAAACAAACTACAGACCTTCATTAACAGTTGTCTTCGCTCAATACTCAAGATCAGATGGCCGGCCAGAAAAGGTCAGCAACAGAGAGGGATCTCTGGCAATGAGCGAACCAACTCAACAGGAACCGATTGTGAAACAAATAGGCAGGAAGAAATGGAGATGGATTGGCTTGCCATACTCTGAGCAAAGAAACCATCAAGTGACATCATTAGACAAGCCATTGCTCGAGTGAAACCCGAAAGGGAAGCGGCGAGTTGGCCGTCAGTACGAGGGTGACTTGGAGGAGGTCATGTGAAGAGGAGATGAAAGTATGTGAGCAGACTTGGAGCGGGGTGAAAAAGTTGGCAGAGAACCGAACGCAATGGAGACGCGCGGCTGAAGCCCTATGTTCCTCTAGGAATTAAAGGATATAATAATAATAATAAAATTAAAGCTTTCTAATGCACATTGAGGCAGCCTTGTCTAGGCAACAAATATATATCCACTAAACTTTCTATTTCATTTGTGATAGAGTCACATTTTCTTTTATACGAGAATTGGTATTTCTAAACTTCAGCTACATTCACCACTTTAGAGATGTTAAATGTAATAGTAAATTAATCATACAGAAATCAATGCATTGACATAAAGTCGATATTTTACACCGAAAGATTTTAGGCAACTTGAAAGAGATGTCAAACATATTTGGGTTTTAACTCATTGCATTCAACTTGGATACTTAATTAATGTTTATTTTCGAAAAATATACATTCAGTTATCTACAACTGTTTTTACATAATCTTGAATATATTCTACTATTTCTAGTTAGAGCATGATATTTCTATGTTGTGCTGTTTATATTGTTGCTTATATTGTTGGTGCATTTTAAATACAGTTAAAAACAGTACGTTAACTTGAATCAGTTCATTGTCTACTCCACTA